GTTTTTTGAGACAGGATCTCTCTCTACCACCCAGGCTGGAGTGCAGTAGCACCCATCATGGCTCACTCCACAGTGACCTCAGCCTCCCAGGCTCAAGTGATCCTCACAGCTTGGCCTCCCAAGAAGCTGGAACTAAAAGCACGCATCACCATGCCCGGTTAAGTTTTGTATTTTTTTTAGAGACAGGATTTTGCCCTTTTCCCAGGCTGGTCTGAAACTCCTGAGCTCAAGAGATCTGCCAGGTGTCAGCCTCCCAAAGTGCTGGGATTACAGGTCTGAGTCAGGCACTAAGTAGGTGTAAAACTCCCTATTTCATGTAAGAAATTGAGGCACCATGAAGATAAGGCCACTGGGAAGATAGCTGGAAGCCCCCCAAGATCCCTCAGATTTGAGCTCTGTATACCAAACCAAAGGAGGAGGGAGAGCTAACTCAATGTTAGCTGGCAGGCTGGTGTAAGTTTGCAGCAGAATTTTCATTGATTTATGGGAAAATGGGGAAAAGTAAGGACACAAAAGTAAACTTTTTTTTTTTTTTAGACTAAGTTTCACTCTTGTAGCCCAGCTGGAGTGCAATGGCACCATCTCTGCTTACTACAACCTTTGCCTCCCAGGTTCAAGTGATTCTCCTGCCTCAGCCTTCAGAGTAGCTGGGATTACAGGTGCATGCCACCAATTCCAGCTAATTTTGTATTTTTAGTAGAGACAAGGTTTCACCATGTTAGCCAGGCTGGTCTGAAAGTAAACCTTTTAATATAACTAAATGATTTCATTTAAAGATCTTTTACTCTGGCTGGGTGCAGTGGCTCATGCCTGTAATTCCAGCCCTTTGGGAGGCTGAGACGGGCAGATGACGAGATCAAGAGCATCCTGGCCAACATGGTGAAACCTGTCTCTACTAAAAATACAAATATTAGCTGGGCATGGTGGCACATGACTGTAGTCCCAGCTACTCAGGAGGCTGAGGCAGGAGAATCACTCAAACCAAAGAGGTGAAGGCTGCAGGGAGCCAAGATCATGCCACCACAATTCAGCCTGGTGACAGGGCAAGACTGTCTCAAAAAAGTAAAAAATAAAATTTATTGTGAGAGATTCTGTTCTTTCAAATTATTTGAGTGAAAATATCCCTTTGTTAAATGAAACAATGATGACAGGAGATAATAGTGTGATATTTGCTTCTATTGGCTGTACCTGGTAGAAATAAAAAATCAGGCCAGGCATGGTGGCTCATGATGTAAAGAGATCGAGACCATCCTGGCCAACGTGGTGAAACCCTGTCTCTACTAAAAATACAAAAATTAGCTGGGCGTGGTGGCATGTACCTGTAATCCCAGCTACTCAGAAAGCTGATGCAGGAGAATCACTTGAACCCAGGAGGCAGAGCCTGCAGTGAGCTGAGAACACGCAACTGCACATCAGCCTGGCAACACAGCGAGACTCTGTCTCAAAAAACAAAAAAAATCAGCATTTCTATTGTAGTCTCCTAATTTTGAGGGAAATATTTCTTTAGAAATCTAAAAGTCTGGCCCTTTACATCATTATGGCCCCAAAATAATAGGGGACTTTACACACAGATAACACATGCCCCTCAAGATTCTCTCTTTAATCTCTACCTTATTCTCTTTGGATTAGGACATTTGGGATTGTGAAATGAGAATAAAGTTGAGTATAAGCAATCCAAAACCATGTGCTGGCACTGGATCCTGAAAGAGGACTTTCTTCGGAATCTTTTTCATCTGTTAACTTTTCTCTGGGCTCAAACAGTTTTTCATTTGTTTTGAGACAGTTTCTCTCTTGTGGCCCAGGCTGGAGTGCAGTGGTGCGATCTCAGCTCACCACAACCTCCGCCTCCCAGGTTCAAGTGATTCTCCTGCCTCAGCTTCCTGAGAAGCTGAGATTACAGGTATGCACCACCACACCCAGCTAATTTTGTATTTTTAGTAGAGACAAGGTTCCTCTATGTTGGTCCGGCTGGACTTGAACTCCTGACCTTAGATGATCCACCCACCTCAGCTTCCCAAAGTGCTGGGATTACAGGTGTGAGCCAGGTGGCTTCAAACTTATTTATTTATTTGAGATGGAATTTCACTCTTGTCGGCTCACCACAACCTTCATCTCCTGGGTTCAAGCAATTCTCCTGCCTCAGCCTCCCAAGTAGCTGGGATTAGAGGCATGCACCACCACGCCCACCCACCTAATTTTGTATTTTTAGTAGAGACAGGGTTTCTCCATGTTGGTCAAGCTGGTCTCGAACTCCCAACCTCAGGTGATCCACCTGCCTCGGCCTCCCAAAGCGGTGGTATTACAGGTGTGAACCATCACACCCAGCCTGGGCTCAAACTTTCTTTTCCTAAGGAGTCACATCTTTGAGTAGTACTGCTACATGGCAATCACTACTCAAAAGAAACTAACTTGAGGTGTCCAATAATCAGCTTTCATTTAAAGTCTCTTTCAGCTTGACAAAATAAAAACTTTCAACATTTTGTCTACCTACTTCTGAAAGAAAATTAGTCTATATATGTACATATATGTGATTATATATGTATATATACATATGTAATTTTGATCAGACTGTTTATAAACTATTTCCAAAATAAGCTGTCCTGTAAATTCATTTATTGAATGAGTTATTTATAAACTACTTGATTTTTGCAAGTAGTTTATAAATAGGGTGATCAAACTGAACAAATTTCTTTTTTTTTTTGAGATGGAGTTTCGTTCTTGTTACCCAGGCTGGAGTGCAATGGCGCGATCTCGGCTCACTGCAACCTCTGCCTCCTGGGTTCAGGCAATTCTCCTACCTCAGCCTCCTGAGTAGATGGGATTACAGGCACGCACCACCGTGCCCAGCTAATTTTTTGTATTTTTAGTAGAGACGTGATTTCACCATGTTGACCAGATGGTCTCAATCTCTTGACCTAGTGATCCACCTGTCTTGGCCTCCCAAAGTGCTGGGATTGCAGGCGTGAGCCACCATGCCCAGCCCACAAATTTCTTAAAATAATTTCACTGTATAGATAGCAAGTAAGTTATTTATTCTTATTAGCATATCTTATTTTTACCTGTTCTTAACAAATATCTAAGTTAAACTGTTTTATGTCCACAGCTACACACTGAAACAACACTTTCAGTCACAACATATTAAATTCAAATTTAAACTATAAAGAGATCCAGTTACCTTCAGTCTTACATGTACTTTAATATACTTTTAATATACTTCTTGATGTTTTATGATGCACACATAGCTCTTACAAGACATCTAACTGAGAATATTTAGAGTGCATGCTTATTAAATGGTTCAAAACTTTTTTAAAAAAAGTCATTTTTAAGAACTTAAACATACAATAAAGTACTCCTTCCATGCCCCAATGTTAAAAGGTTTATTAATTTTAGTCTACTTGCTTCAAAAAAAATCTAAAATTGGTAATAATTCTGCTTAAATTCCATATTAACCTAGGATCAAAAGTTATTTTTACTTCTTCTTGTTTCTTAATACTTGAAATGTGCTGCTACATAATGTTTTCCTTACATATTTATTCAATCAACTAACTTCATGTGGAAGGTACTTATGAACTTAAAAGTTCTTTCCCAAAGTGGAAATAACATAAAAATTTTGCATGAAAGACACTCGACGTTCGTTTCTCAAGGGTATCTGAGGTTCTAATCAGCCTATTATCTTGGTTTGGAATATCCACCAACAACAAATGTGAGCTTTTTGTCACATCCATGTATTTTCCCCTATAAACCAATACCTACATTTTAAATGCATTTTCAAAATGTTTCATTTGGCCATGTGATAATTATTTCCCCTGTAATAATTTGTAAGGATTTTGGTTTAAGAGCAAATAAGATAGAGTATCTGGTCCATAAGAAGGCTAAGTGGAAAGATCAGCACCCTGACGTTTGTAACCAATAACAAGAGAAACTCCAATGCTACCTTGTTCATGTAATCAGCAATATGTGAGTCAAAATAAACTAATGAGCTATACATTTCTGGCTACATACCAATTTACCAATCAACAGGAGGGGAAGAAATTGCTCAAATGTGACTGTTAACAAACATGTTGACAAACATCTAAATATTAGACATAGTCTCTACTAAAATCATAACCTATCAATTCTGAAATCATTCCTTCAAATTGTTATGTTTGTAATACCCCCCCATTAAAAAAAAAAAACAGCAACCTTTAAAATGTAAATTCCTCCCTTTTTCAAAGTAACTTGCCTAGGAAAATTTAATGCGTTAAAATAAAATGTAACAGACAAACCAATTACAACATTAAAAAAATATAGTAAAATGATCAGTAACACAAACCAATCACTCAAGTTTAGCAAAGCGTGTGTTTTTAGTCTGTAGTGGGTATCCTATTATACTAATAAGCAACAACTTTTACAAATCATCCCAATGCCTAAAACACCATCATGCACACAATATGCTTGTCCTTTACTCCAATGAAGCTTAAACTCAGACCCAAACTCAGACCATTTCCCCCTCCTGCCACACTGAAATATACAAGGGGAAATCCAAGAAATCAGATATAAGTACCCGTATCTTCTTCCAGGGTAGGGTCAAACTCATGTTTGCTCATAAATGTCACCATCCCAGTAAGTCTGCAAATTCTCACTAGCGCTAGAGTACAAAGGCCTGACCAGGAGGACACTGGGAAACGCAAACCCCCTGAGTCCGCGCCGGTCCCAAAGCTTCAGCTGCAGCGACAGGGGGACAAGAGGTGGCCACTGGCCTCGCGGGTGCGGTGGACAGGGTCCCAAACCCCTGCCCGCCTCCCGAGAACCAGGAAACCTGTCAGGCCGGCCGGGACCCACCCTCCTCAGACTCTCGCGCCCCGCCCGACCCCGTCCGTTCCCCGCGGCCAGCTCCCTGGCTGCCCAAGCCTGAGCTCCCTCCTCGAGCTCCCCACCCCAGCCTCCACTATCGCCCCGTGCGGCCGCTGCTGGCCCACCCCTAACGGCTACTTGGAGGCAAGGGCAGCAAAACACCTCACCCAGGGCCTCAGGTCGCAGAGGGCCCGGTGCTCGGGGTCCCTCTCCTACTCCCACTCCACGTGGCAGGAACAAATGGAGGGCAGGATCCCGGCTGCGCACACGGCATACTGGGCCATCTGCTCCCACCACAGCACCGACACTCTCAGGAGGACGGGCGCCGCCATCTTACCCCTCCACCGCCACCGCCTCCTTCCACCTCCACCTCAGCCGCTGCTGCCAGTCGGCCTGACGCACGGCCGCGCCTCATTGGCTCCGTCGCTTGTTCCGGACCCCACCCTCACAGGCGCAGCCCAACCGCCCCAAAATGAGGCGGGCAGAGCGAGGAAGCTAAGCCTAGGCTTGGAGGGAGGGGCCTGAGCGCGCAACCGCCCAGGAGGCCGAATTGGCTGTCGGAGGCTGAGGCTGTGTTTCCCGGCGCGCGTGAAGGGCGGGGCCCGGTGTGAGGGGTGGGACTGGGTGGGACGGATTTAGGAGAGCTGTTGCGAGGATCACTTAGCAAGGATCCCACTGTGGGTGGGTGAACCCTTAGCCCCTCCCTCTGGGATGGCAACTGGTTGCCATCCTTTTTCCCTTTTTCGTCGTTATCACTTGATATTTCTGACACAATTCGAATCACCCCTGGCCAATGCTTGGGGCTTCTGAGCCACCCTCCTATGACCTGATCTTCCTACCACCACCTCCAGGCACTTTGTGTTCAATCTGTGCAAAACTTTTTTTTTTTAATGTGCAAAACTATGTTTTAAATTAAAAAACTATTTTAAAAAAATGATTTATGGGCCGGGCTCAGTGGCTTACGCCTGCAATCCCAACACTTTGGGAGGCTGAGGCAGGTGGATCACTTGAGGTCAGGAGTTCCAGACGAGCCTGGCCTACATTGTGAAACCCCCGCCTCTAATAAATAAAATAAAATAAAATAAAAAATTAGCCAGCAGCAGGGCGCGGTGGCTCACGCCTGTAATCCCAGCACTTTGGGAGGCCAAGGCGGGTGGATCACGAGGTCAAGAGATCGAGACCATCCAGGTCAACATGGTGAAACCCCGTCTCTACTAAAGATACAAAAAATTAGCTGGGCGTGGTGGCCTGTGCCTGTAATCCCAGCTACTCAGGAGGCTGAGGCTGGAGAATTGCCTGAACCCAGGAGGCAGAGGTTGCGGTGAGCCGAGATCGCGCCATTGCACTCCAGCCTGGGTAACAAGAGCGAAACTCCGTCTCAAAACAAAATAAATAAAACAACAAAAAATTAGCCAGGCATGGTGGTGTGCGCCTATAATCCCAGCTACTTAGGAGGCTGAGGCACGAGAATCACTTGAACCCGGGAGGCAGAGATGGCACCACTGCACTCCATCCTGGGCCATAGAGTGAGAGTCAAAAAAATCAAAAAACACTGGGTGCGTATCTCACGCCTATAATCCCAGCACTTTGGGAGGCTGAGGCGGGTGGATCATGAGGTCAAGAAATCGAGACCATCCTGGTCAACGAGGTGAAACCCCGTCTCTACTAAAAAATACAAAAATTAGCTGGGCATGGTGGCGTGTGCCTGTAGTCCCAGCTACTTGGGAGGCTGAGGCGGGAAAATTGCTTGAACCCAGAAGGCGGTGGTTGCGGTGAACCGAGATCATGTCATTGCACTCCAGTCTGGGTAACAACAGCGAAACTCCGTCTCAAAAAAAAAAAAAAAAAAAAAATCAAAAAAAACCCCCCAAATTTACTAATGCCTTGCTTCTCTGTAAGCTGAATACGAGGTGCCTTACCATAATTCATATCATACAGAAAAATATAGATGAGCTAATAAAATCAATACGAAGAAAAGGGAAAGTCAGACCCAGGCGTGGTGGCTCACGCCGGTAATCCCAGCACGTTAGGAGGCCGAGGCAGGCAGATCACCTGAGGTCAGGAGTTTAAGACCAGTGTGACCAACATGGAGAAACCCTGTCTCTAGTAAAAATACAAAATTAGCCTGGCATGGTGGCGCATGACTGATCCCAGCTACTACTCGGGAGGCTGAGGCAGGAGAATCCCTTCAACCTGGGAGGTGGAGTTTGCGGTGAGCTGCGCCACTGCACTCCAGTCTGGGCAACAAGAGCTAAACTCCGTCTTGTTTCAAAAAAAAAAAAAGAAAAGAAAAAAAAAAAAACCCTCAGAATAAAATGAAAGGCCAGTAATAAGAACACAGATAAGCCAGTCATAGGGGCTTACACAGTTATAAAAATTGGGTCATACATTTGGCTCTGAGCTTCCTGGTGACCAAAACTAAAAGGAAAACACATGTATGTGTTTTTCTCACTGTGTCTGAGAAGAAACACAGTGTCCTTGGAGACTCTCAGTGTTTCCCTTGTTGCAGCTTTCCATTTTTCAGGGTTTTTAAATAGTGATTTTAAGTAATAAGCAATATCCTTGTATTCATTACCTATTGTTGGGTAAAAATCGCCCCAAATTTAGCAGCTTAATAAGCAATACACTTTTTTTTTTTTTTTTTTTTGCAACGGAGTTTCGATCTTGTTACCCAGACTGGAGTGCAATGGCACGATCTCGGCTCACAGCAACCTCCGCCTTCTGGGTTCAAGCAATTCTCCTGCCTCAACCTCCCGAGTAGCTGGGACTACAGGCCCGCACCACCATGCCCAGCTAATTTTTGTGTTTTTAGTAGAGACGGGGTTTCATCATGTTGACCAGGATGGTCTCGATCTCTTGACCTCGTGATCCACCCGCCTCGGCCTCCCAAAGTGCTGGGATTATAGGCGTGGGCCACCAAGCAATACACTTTTATTTTTCCTCACAGTTTCAATGGGCTAGGAATCTGAGTGAGGTTAGCTGTGTCCTCTGGCTCAGGCTCTCATGAGGATACAATCGAGCTGTCAGCCAGGGATGCAGCTCTCACAAGGCTTCACAATCCTCTTTCAAACTCACTTCCACAGCTGCTGGAAGGCCTCAGGTCCTCTCTGTCGGTTGGCCGGAGGCCTCAGTTCCTCCCGACTTGTACCTCTTCATAAGAAGCAACTGGCTTGCCCCAGGGCTAGGGAAAAGAAAATGAAAATGAGAGAGAGAGAGATCATAGTCCTTTTTTGTAATCAAATCCCAGAAGTGACATCCCATCACTTTTATGTATTCTATTGCTGCTTAGAAAATAGCACCTAGGTTCAGCAAGGCATAATGGCTCACACCTGTAATCCCAGAATTTTAGGAGGCCGAAGTGGGTGGATCACCAGATGTCAGGAGTTCAAGACCAGCCTGATCAATATGGTGAAACACCATCTTAACTAAAAATACAGAAATGAGCTGGATGTAGTGGAACATGGCTGTAATCCCAGCTACTTGGGAAGGCAAGGCAGGGCGACCACTTAAACTCGGGAGGCGGAGGTTGAAGTGAGCCACAATCACACCATTGCACTTCAGCCTGGCCTGGAAGGCAAAACTCCATCTCAAAAAAAGAAAAAGAAAAAGAGTCTCAATAATCCTTAGGTCCAGCCCATGCTCAAAGAAGAGGATTATACAGGACATAAATATGAGGAGGCTGTTTACCACAGTCCTCAAAAACATCCTCACTCTGCTCAGGTGGGGTGGCTCCAACATTTTGACAGGCTGAGGCAGGAGGATTGCTTGAGGCCAGTAGTTCGAGACCAGCCTGAACAACATAGGGAGCTCTGGTGTCTGCAAAAAATATACAAAATTAACCGGGTGTGGCAGTGCATGTCTGTTGTTCCAGCTACTTGGTAGGCTGAGTGGGGAGGACTGATTGAGCCCAGAGGTCTTGGGACAGGGTGTGGGTTGAGGCTGCAATGAGCAGACAAGGAGAGCAGAGGAGCCCCACTGCACTCCTACCTGGATAACAGAGTGAGACCTTGATTCAAAAAAAAATCCTCACTCTGCATCCCTAATGATTTCCATAAATGTAAGTGGACTCCTGCAGCTTCCCTTCTTATAGATTCCTTTACTCAGTTAATGAGATCTCTTGATCATGTGGCTTCTTTTATGTCTGGGAGGTTTACCCATTTTATTGCAGATAGTGACTGTTACTTTTCATTAATGTGTAATAATACAATATATTTCATAACCAAAATTGTATTTATCCATTCTACTGCTGTTGGACATCTGGCTTATTTTTAGCTATCACTAATTAAGTTGCTATGAACATTCTATAAAAGACTTTTGGTGGACATAAGCCCTCATTACTTTCTTTCTTTTTTTTTTTTAATTGGAGAGAGAGTTTTGCTCTTGTTGCCCAGGCTGGAGTGCAATGGAAAAATCATGACTGTGTGCAATGGGGAAATCATGACTCACTGCAACCTCTGCTTCTGGGGTTCAAGCAATTCTCCCGCCTGAGTCTCCCAAAATGCTGGGATTACAGGCATGAGCCACCCTGCCCAGCCAGCATAAGCCCTCATTTCTATTAGGAATACATCAGGAGTGGAATTGATGAGTGAGATAGTATTGATTGCATGGATAAATACTGCCTCTGTCAATTCAGGTGCTCCGCGTGAGAAGGTGCAGTAGCCTGCAGGCCCACACAAGCATGAACATTAAAAAAAAAAATTGAATTTCTTCAAGAAAAATTCCAGGCACTTAACACTGAAAAGTCATTGAACGTGATAAGCAAGAAGGTAATCACAGCCAGCAGCACAAGCATTGGCCCAAGGCAAGTCTGGCTCCAGCCAGCAAAATGTTAAAAAAGGGTTCATCTATGTCAGAAAATAGTAAGAGAATGTTTGTGTGTGAGAGGGATGGGAAGTAAAACTAAAGAGAAATAGTGTAAAGAGAAAAGAGAGAGAAGCATTTTCTTTTAAAAACTCAGAACAGCTAAGCCAAAACATGTTTAAAAAGGTTTAAGAAGAAAAACTATAAAGTAAAAGAGGACAAATTGTGGGAAGTAGAAAAGTTCCTGTGGTCCCAGCTCCACAGGAGGTTAAGTGAGGGGACTGCTTGAGCCCAGGAGTTCAAGGGTGCAGTGAGCTATGATTGTGCCACTGCACTCCAGCCTGGGTGATAGAGGGAGACCCTGTTTTAATAAGAAAAGTTTGGGGCCAGATACAGTGGCTTGCATCTGTAATCCCAGCACTTTGGGAGGCCAAGGCAGGTGGATCACTTGAGGTCAGGAGGTCGAGACCAGCCTGACCAACATGGTGAAACCCTGTCTCTACTAATTGGCTGGGCATGGTAGTGCCTGTAATCCCAGATGCAGGTGTGTGCCACCATGCTTGACTAATTTTCTTTAATTTTGTACAGATGGGGTCTTGCTACATTGCTCATGCTGGTCTCAAATTTCTGGGCTCAGGTAGTGTTGGAAATAGATGCTCAGTGCCACAAAGAAAAATTAGCACTGAGACAACTGATCTTTCAGCAACACAAGTTTTATTTCCTGGACTGCAGGAAGGGTACTCGTGGTAGCCATTGTGCCATGAGAGTACAATGAACAAAGGAGGAACCAGGTGAGCTGATCCCAGT